CTGTGGAGCTCAAAGATCTGCAAAAGGCTCCATTACCTTTGAGCAGAAATGTTTTTCTCCTGTTTAATGAGACATTGTTGAATGTTTAAACCTGAATGGCTACAAGACTTTAATATTTAATTAAAAGTTATTCTGTAATGTGATTTATTCAATAAATACATAATAAATGGATCAGTTGCATTTCCTGCACATGCCTTTATTTCTGATAGAGGAGGCGGAGCATTTATCCTTACTGAGGTAAAACTGTTTATTGTGATATTGATTTGAGGTCATATCGCCGAGCCCTAGACTAAACTCATGATTAGTGACACAGGTGATGAAGATTAAACCTGTTTCTGAATCAAAGTGATCCGAGCTCAAAGAGTGCCTCTCATGCAGGAGAATAAACTTTCATTTAAAGAAAAAGACGAACCTAAAGTCCATATTAGCAGACAAAAGCACAACATTTCAAGCAATATATCAAACAATTCAAGGAATAATTTCTCTTCATCCATTTTCTTTGTAGATAACAGAGATTGACTACAGAATCTACGTAGGAGGATGAAGTACAAAATAAGACAATTGTACTTTTGGTTTTCTGAAGTAGGAATCATTTTAAAACGAACTTAGCTCTTGGTTACCCAGGAGGATGCAGGTTGTTGTTCTTTAAACACTTCTGATGTTTCAGAACCGTTGTGTGTGTGTTGGGGTGTATTACCGTGTCGGACTGTTTATGGCTAATTTCCCATTATGGGGAGGGGACTTCCAGCTACTTCCAGTCAGCCGATCCCTATGGGGACAGTTGATCTTCTTGGGTTGGGAATTAGGTTTAGAGCTAAGGTCTGAATTGAGTTTAGGTTGGGGTTAGGTATAGACTTGGTTAGGTTCAGGGTTAGTGTCACAGTTTGGCTGTGGAAATGTGTTCCAAATTATTGGTAGCCAATGAAAAGACCCCACAAGAATGGAGAGACATGATTGTGTATTTGTGATGGGGGCGGTTATATGTTGTGCACAGGAGGCAGTTCTTCCTGGAACATGTTTTATTGTTTTTATTCAAAGTGACTGGGGGTTTAGGTTATGTGGTTCAGCTAAAATATTTTCCTAATTCTCGGAACGGGGGTTTGAACAGACCTTCAAAACCAAAACATCGACCACATCCTGGGGGCTGCATGTCATATCTAGAGCAAACCTCTCGCTCCCGGATACTTCTACACTCAAAAATGTCATCTTTGGACACAAAAGGCTTCTGTGTGAAAATAATTATATTTTATTAATGGAGCAATAAGCGAAATTTCACAAATTTAGATTAAAAAAACTGTTTTGTGAATTGTAATCATAAACTTTAACTTATTTGGTAAAACAACTATAAAAACTCTGTAGTTTTCATTTTTGTAGCCATTTTATTTAATCTATACTAATTTGTTTTCAAGTCTTGATGTTTTGTCATTATTTTATTTATTTATTTATTTATTTTTACAGTGTCCTGTCTGGCAATGTGGCAATAACAATAATTGTCTTGATGCCAAAAAGAGCCCAACAGATTTTACTTTCACCAGTGGAGCAGTGCGGCTATTGCCATATTGCTCCACTTGTTTCATGCATATAAATTGCTTTATTATAATTATGCAGGGAGTTTTACAGTTTATATGGACACTGCAATGTAAGTAGAGCAGAAAAACAGAAGAAGAAAAGGAAAACAGAAAGAGAAAAGATGAAAGAAAGAAGAGAAAGGAGACAATGACAAAACATTTTCAGTCT